ATTCTGTCATTTCATCACACTCATTCTCCATCCAGCTTTGTTCCCTTGCTGGTGAGGAGTTTTGGTCCTTTGTAGGAGGCGAGGTGTTCTGGTTTTGGGTGTTTTCCTCCTTTTTGCGCTGGTTTCTTCCCATCTTTGTGGATTTATCCACCTGTCATCTGAGTAGTTGTTGATTTTCCGATTAGGTCTCTGAGTGGACGTCCAGATTGTTGATGATGAAGTATCTTAGTTTTCCTTCTAACAGTCTGGCCCCTCTGCTGTAGGACTACTGAGGTCCACTCCAGGCCCTCCTTGCCTGGGGTACACCTGTAGCAGCTGTGGAACCATGAGGGTGGCTACCTGTTTCTTCTTCTGTTATCTTTGTCCCTGAATGATGCCTGCCAAATGTCAGTCTGATCAGTCCTTTGTGAGGTGACTCTTTGGATATGCGGGGGTCAGGGAGCTGCTTGAGGAGACGGTCTGTACTTTAGACTTGAGGAGACAGTCTGTACTTTATAGGAGCTCAAGTGCTGAGCTTTGAGCTCCGTTGTTCTTTCAGGGCTGCTAGGCAGGTACGTTTAAGTCTGCTGCAGCCCAACTCATAAAGCCCCTTTTTTTCCTCAGATGCTCTGTCTCAGGGAGTTAGGGCTTTATTTATGAGTATCCGTTGCACTGTCCTGCCCAGCAAGGAGGCAGTCTAGTCACTCTCTGCCTATAGTGGTTATGCTGAGCTGCCATGGGCTCCGCCCTGCTGTCATGCACTCCACCCTGCTGCCATGGGCTCCGCCCTGCTGTTGTGGGCTCCACCCTGCTGCTGTGGGCTCTACCCTGCTGCGTGTGTAATTCCCTGTAGTCCTGTTTATATGGGTGTGGTTAGAGCTGCCGAGGTGATGATGGCCCACCTCTGTAGTGGCGGACTCTCTCTGTTATGGTGGGTTGCCTTGGCAACAGCAGGCTGCAGTCAGCAATGGCAGTGAACCTCCATAGGGGTCTAGTGCCTCGGTAATGGCAGACGCCCCTCCTTCTCCAAGCTGCACCGTCCTGGGTTCAGCTGTGCTTGCCATGAAACTCTCAACCCCGAGCGTTTCCAATTGCTGTTTTGTTTGTTTTTGTGGGGGTGGGACCTGCCGAGCCTGATCACCTGGCTCCCTGCCTCAGAGCCCTTTTTTTTTTTTTTTAAGTTGAACAGTTGACTCTCTCCCAGGTGTTCCAGTCACCTGCTGAAAGGGTGCTGGGATCTATGTGATTTCCCGTGCAGTGACCCACTGCGCTGACTGGAACCACATTGCTGCCCAGGAATCTCCTGGCTTGGCTTACTGTTTAAGTCCCGTTTAATCAGATGAATGTGCTAATCTGCCTTCTGAAATCTCCAATTGCTGGTTTAACCAAACCAGTGAATTTTGTACGGAGTGCCGCTGCGCTGCAGCCCCGGCCCAAACAGCCACACTGGCGGCCCATGCAGCTCCTACACCTGGGAATCTCCTGGTCTGTGGGCAACAAAGATCTGTCTGGAAATGTGGCGTGCACTCACCATCCGCGGTTTCATTGGGAGCTGCAATCCTGAGTTGGTCCTACAGCGTCATCTTCCCCAGGTTTCGGTGACACTTTTACAGTTTCAAAGATCTCTTAGTGTCTTGTTGCGTGAGAAACAGCTGGATTCTCAAATCTGTTTCTGTAGTCATTCTGATGTAATATCACAAGTCACATGACCTCTAGAGAACTCCACTGTACACTTGTGAGAGAATCCTAGCGAAAAAGACAAAGCCAGGTGCAGTGGCTCACACCTGTAATCCCACACTTTGGGAGGCCAAGGCGGGTGGATCACTTGAACTCAGAAATTCAAGACCACCCTGGGCAATGTGGTGAAACCCTATCTCTACCAAAAATACAAAAATAACCAGGCATGGTGGCACGAGCCTGTAGTACCAGCCACTCGGAAGGTTGGGGTGGGAGAATCACTTGAACTCAGGAGGCAGAGATTGCAGTGAGTGGAGATTGTGTCATTGCACTCCAACCTGGGTAATGGTGAAACCCTGTCTTAAGAAAGAAAGAAGTAAAGGAGGGAGGGGGGGCAAAGACTATTGACCATTATGAACAAAATAGTTTTGACCCACATTTGAAGAACTAGAGCAAGTTTGCAAGCTTTCCGTGCAGTTTCTTTGACTGTAAGCTCTTTTCCCTTGAATATGGTTCAAGCAGAGCCATATTCATTCTTCATTCTTTCTGCACCCTCCTCCTTCCATCTGTGAACATTTTAGGACCTTGCAGATTTGTTAAGCTAAGGGGAAATGTTAAGCCCTGGAAACTGAGGCACGTAGCATGGCTGTTTTTCTTCTCTAGCGCGTGACATTTGCTTTCTGACCTTTTTGTTGAGATGTTACTCATTAACCATACTCCCTGTTCTTCCTTCAAACCTAGGCTAAGTGACATTGGCGATAGACAACGCTGGGAACTGTGACGTCTCTACAGCAGAAGTTCAGCAGTTTCTTTGGAGTGTGATCAGTAGTATTCAAGTCTTCTATGTTAGCCTTTGTACGGAAAATGTAACTCAGTTTTCAGCACCTGCTTTTGCCTGTATGAACGATCCTCACTTTTTCCCACACCAAGAGCCCTGATCACCATTCTTTGGCGTTCACTTGTATGTAGACACCCTCACTCTTCGTGCTTGAATTAACTATTTTACTGGATTCTGGCCAGGTGTGGTGTCTCACACCTGTAATCCCAGCACTTTGGGAGGCCAAGGCTGGTGGATCATGAGGTCAGGAGTTCGAGACCAGCCTGGCCAGCAGGGTGAAACACCATCTCTGCTAAAAATACAAAAATTAGCCAGGTGTGGTGGTGCACCTGTAATCCCAGCTACTCCGGAAGCTGAGACAAGAGAATCGCTTGAACCTGGGAGGTAGAGGTTGCAGTGAGCTGAGATCACACCGCTGTACTCTAGCCTGGGCAACAGAGCAAGACTCGGTCTCAGGGGAAAAAAATCAAATAAACTATTTTAATTGGATCCTTTTTATTGAGCTCGTTTTCATTGTGCCTGAATAATGAACATGTATTTTACGGTGGATCTGCTCGTGATTATTTCAGTCCTAGCTGCACCATTTTATAACCCCCACCATTTCACCGACCCTAGTCAGTGAAACATTCCTTGGGGACTCCAGCCGTGAGAAACATCCTGCCCAACCGCCTGACTACAGGAACAGCCTTATCACATCCTGTCAGGCAGTGAGCCACACTGTCCAGACCCTCCAGCCCAGACCTATAATTGCCCCAGCCTGTAAGCGGCAGTGGCACTAAGCTGGTTCCCCCGTCCACAGGGTTTTGCTGGCAATAAACCTGTGTTGCTGTTGAAGCCACCAACTAACACACACACACTCTCTCCCCCTCTCCTCTCTCTCCTCTCTCTTGCTCGCTCTCTGTGTGTTTGTCTCTTTGTCTGTCTTTAACCTTCACCATCCCTTCAAAACCTAACAATTTCCTCTTTTTTTTCTTTAGAGACGGGATCTTAATATGTTGCCCAGGCTGGTCACAAAATGCTGGGCTCAAGCAGTCCTCCCAAAGTGTTGGGATCGCAAGGGTGAGACACCATGCCCAGCACGATTTCCTCATTCATAGTTTGTCCTAAACTATAGTTTACCTTCTTTTCTGCATGCCAGTCTCCCTGTGTATAGAAGTCTTGATTGGCAGTTACTTTCTTTGAGATTTTATCTTTATCTTTTTATTGTGAGATTTCAGGGTATTGATTGATTTTTATTTATCTGCCTGCTTGGTTTCTGGAAGCTTTTGGAATCTTCGGCATGATGTTTTTCTCATCACTTTTGGAAAATTCTCAGCCATTAGTTCCTCAAATATTTCTTCCCCACCTCTTTGATTTCCTTCTAAGACACCAGTTACCTATATGATGGTGTTTCCTGCTGTATCCTCTTATTTTCTGAATGGCTTCTTCTATCTTGCAGCTCAGTAATTCAACTGTCTAAGCTGCCAAACTCATTTAATTTTTTTTGTTGTTTTCTTTGATTGTTTGAAACAGAAACTCTCTCTGTCACCCAAGCTGGAAAACAGTGGTACCATCTCGGCTCACTACAACCTCTGCCTCCCAGGTTCAAGCGATTCTCCTGCCCCAGTCTCCCAAGTACTTAGGATTACAGGTGCCTGCCATCATGCCTGGCTAATTTTTGTATTTTTAGTAGAGATGGGGTTTCACCATATTGGTCAGGCTGGTCTCAAACCTATGACCTCAGGTGATCTGCCCGCTAAATTGTTTTATGCTTTCTAGTTCTCTACTGGAAAATATTTCTGAAAAAAAATTTTCCATTTTTTTTTTTAAACTGTTAAGTCCAGTGTCTGGAGCCCCTGTGGAAGTTTTATATTATCTGTTGAGAAGAATATGCACAAAATACAGACATAAAAATATGCAGAGCCGGCCAGGCGCTTTGGCTCACGTCTGTTATCCCAGCACTTTGGGAGGCTGAGGCAGGTGGATCACCTGAGGTCAGGAGTTCAAGACCAGCTTGGTCAACATGGTGAAACCCCGTTTCTACTAACAATACAAAAATTAGCCCAGTGTGGTGACGGGCACCTGTAATCCCAGCTACTCAGGAGGCTGAGGGATGACAATTGCTTGAACCCAGGAGGCAGAGGTTGCGGTGAGCTGAGATCACGCCACTGCACTGCAGCCTGGGCGACAGAGTGAGATGCCGTCTCAAAATGTGTGTGTGTGTGTGTGTGTGTGTACATGTGTGTATATATATTATACGTGTAGAGCCAAATAACAATACAAAGGATCAAAACACACCACTAAAATGGGAGACTTGACTTACTTCAGCATAACAGTAAAGAAGGATTTCTTTGGCTAACCAGCCCTCCCGGTTTGTCTAGAACTTTCCCGGTTTCCGCGTTGAAAGCCCCACGTCCCAGGAAACCCATCAGTCGTGGGAAGATGTGGGGGGTTAGCCACCCTGCGTGAGACACGCGGCACACCCCCAGCGCACCGTCTCCCAGTCCCTCCTTGCCTGCGGCACCAGGGCGACCGCCGGGGGCGCTGTGGTGCACCGTCGCGGCCGGGGGAGGCACTCTGGGCTTGCGGCGTCGCTGCTGCTTCCGCCTTCCCGGCAGCCCCTGCTCGGCGACCTTTCTCAGTCCGGTGCGGGTTCGTGGTGCTCCCTGAGCTGTGTTTCCTGCGCCAAGGTGAGTGCGGGGACCTGGACCTGGCCCCGGGGTGCGAGACGGCGGGGGCGGGAGGGCGAGAAGCCGCCTCGGCCTCAGCTGACCTTGGGATCCCAGCCCTCCGCCGGCACGCGCCAGCCTTTCCGCCCTGTCTCCCCGTCTCTAAGGGGAGGTAGGCCTGGGTCGGCGGTCAGAGGAAAGCATCGCGAGCCCGCGCCGCGCTTCCCTCCTTGGCCTTGACGCGCTGGGTGCACCTGTGTTCTCGCCTGCTTTTGATAGCGTCCCCTGGCCCCGAGAGGTTCAGCTGCCTAACGGAGAGGCACGCGGAGTCAGAGAAGCCGGAGTCCAGGCCAGGAACTCTGACTCCACGTCCAGGGCCCTCTCTCCGTTATAACTCAGGTTTCCTCGCGCCACGCTTGTCCTCCACGTTATGCTCGTGACAAGGACTTGGGTGAGGCGGCAGGGAAACCGAAACGAGATCATATGGTGATGATCGAAACCGTACGGAACTCGCGGGTCAGACGTTTCCCGTTGCCAGTGTAAGGTCCCGGTTTCCGCGTTGAAAGCCCCACGTCCCAGGAAACCCATCAGTCGTGGGAAGATGTGGAGGGTTAGCCACCCTGCGAGGCTAACAGTTTGCCCTTAATGTAACGTGCGGGAGCTTTGCAGGTTTGAATGGGTACGGTAGACACCCGTTCGACCTGTGAATAGGATGGCTTTTTAACAGCTCTGATGCTGTGAAACTGACACAGCTAGGAAACGTGCCTGGACAGAGTGGACTCCGGTGGAGACAGGCGGGGCCCTCATTTTATTACATATTTGGGGACTTCACTTGTCCAGGCAAATATGGCAACTACAGTCAAAGGGAAGGAGGGGGAAAGGTAGTTGCAAGCTACTGTATAGCAGGGCCCCTGTTGTATTGGGGACCAAGGGTAATTTTGTAAGGAGACCAAACCAGGGTGCCTGGGCCCTGAGCAAAATGTCAGGATGACTCAGTTTCTTTAGTCCCTTCTCTTTTTTTTTGTTTTGTTTTGTTTTGTTTTGTTTTGTTTTTTGAGACGGAGTCTTGCTGTGTCACCAGGCTGGAGTGCAGTGGCACAATCTTGGCTCACTGCAACCTCCACGTCCCTGGTTCAAGCTATTCCCCTCCCTCAGCCTCCCGAGTAGCTGGGACTACAGTCTTGCACCAGCATGCCCAGCTAATTTTTTTGTATTTTAGTAGAGATGGGGTTTCACCATGGCCAAGATGGTCTCGATCTCCTGACCTCATGATCCGCCCTCCTCAGCCTCCCAAAGTGCCTGGGATTACAGGCGTGAGCCACTGTGCCGGCCAACTTTTTTTTTTTTTGAGACAGAGTCTTGCTCTGCTGCTAGGCTGGAGTGCAATGGCACAATCTCGACTCACTGCAGCCTCTGCCTCGTGGGTTCAAGTGATTCTCCTGTCTCAGCCTCCCGAGTAGCTGGGATTACAGGTACACGCCACCATGCCCAGCTAATTTTTCCTTCTGTTAGAATCTCAGTGGCTTAGTGTTAATTATAGCCATCAACTATATATTTGTAGCAATTCTGTTACTGTTCTGATCATTCACTGAATTTTTTTTTTTTTTTTTTTTTTTTTTTTTGGAGAGAGGGAATCTCGATTTGTTGCCCAGGCTGTAGTGCAGGAGTGCAGTGGCATGATCTCTGCTCACTGCAACCTCCGCCTCCAGGGTTCAAGTGATTCTCCTGTCTCAGCCTCCCCAGTAACTGAAATTACAGACACACACCACCACGCCCAGGTAATGTTTGTATTTTTAGTAGAGATGATGTTTCACCATGTTGGCCAGGCTGGTCTCAAACTCCTGACCTCAAAGAGATCTGCCTGCCTCAGCCTCCCAAAGTGCTGGAATTACAGGCAGGAGTCACCATGCCCAGTCCATTCTCTGAATTTTTTTTTTTTTTTTGAGACAGAGTCTTGCTCCATCTGGAGTGCAGTGGCATGATCTCAGCTCACTGCAATCTCCATCTCCCAGATTCAAGCGATGCCCCTGCCTCAGCCTCAGCCTCCTGAGTATGGGACTACAGGCATGCACCGCCACACCTGGCTAACTTTTTGTATTTTAGTAGAGACGGGGTTTCACCATGGCCAGGATGGTCTCGATATCCTGACCTCATGATCCGCCTGCCTCGGCCTCCCAGAGTGCTGGGATTATAGGCATGAGCCACCGCGCCTGGCCCATTCTCTGAGTCTTTATTCCATACAAGGCAATAGGCTGGGTCCATTAGGTTCCTCCTTGAATTGCATTGAGAGCCCTGTGGAGGCAAGTGGTGGTATCCATGTTTCACAGAATAGGAAACCTCCGAAATAATGGCTCAAGGGACTTGCCCACAGTTGAGAGCTGAGCAGGCAGAGCTGATGTTGGAGCCCAGGATTCCCAAGCTTCCAAACCCATTGGTCCTGTACAATGCTTCCTTCCTAGTCTGTGCCTCTGAACTCTTCTAGTGTGGGGCCTCCTCCTCTGGGTTTTGTTTGGATCATCTGTGGCACATTCCCAAAGCAGGGCTGTTGGCTTCTTGGGACCTCACACTTTGTCAGAGCATTCGAGTACAGTTTAAGGACAGGAAATTTGAGGATGGACGTATCTGCAAGGTGTTCCAGGAGAAGGACACAGTCACATCCTGCAAGGTCACACCTTGGGCCAGCCTTCACCACTATCCTTGCCTAAGTAAGTCCGCTTATAGGGAAGGGCAGGAAAGCGGTGTTAGAGGCAGGTCCTCGTCATCGGAGCATGGCATACAGATTCAATGTGAGCAGTCCTGCCAACCTCCTGCGGGACCGTGGGCAGCTTTCTCCAAGTGCCCACTTTATAGGGGTGGGAAGCAGTATAGGAAATAAGTATGCAGAGTGCTTTAAAATGCTGTTAAAGAGCCAGGCACAGTGGCTCATGCCTGTAATCCCAGCATTTTGAGAGGCCAAGGTGGGCAGATCATCTGAGGTCAGGAGTTCGAGACCAGCCTTACTAACATGAAGAAACCCCATCTCTACTAAAAATACAGAATTAGCCAGGCACGATGGCACATGCCTGTAATCCCAGCTACTCAGGAGGCTGAAGCAGGAGAATTCCTTGAACCCAGGAGGCAGAGGTTGCAGTGAGCCAAGATTACACCATTGCACTCCAGCCTGGGCAACAAGAGTGAAACTCTGTCTAAAAAAAAAAAAAGGCCAGGCATGGTGGCTCATGCCTGTAATCCCAGTACTTTGGGGGGCCGAGGTGGGTGGATCGCCTGAGGTCAGGAGTCGGTGACTAGCCTGACCAACATAGTGAAACCCTGTCTCTACTAAAAATACAAAAGATTACCTGGGTGTGGTGGTGGGCGCCTGTAATCCCAGCTACTTGGGAGGCTGAGTCAGGAGAATCACTTGAACCCTGGAGGCGGAGGAGGTTGCAGTGAGCCGAGATCATGCCCTTGCACTCCAGCCTGGGCAACAAGAACAAGACTCGGTCTCAAAAAAGAAGAAAAAGTGTGAGTCCTGTGTGTGAGTGCAGAACAGGCCTAGCACAGGCAAGGCTCCCTGTTGGGTCATCGTGGGAAATAGGGTTGAAATTAACAAATTAAAATCTCTTACCAGTTTGCTTTAGAACAATCATCATTTTCATTTCTAATCCCTGTGTTCATTTTCAGATGTTTCAAAATTTTGTTAAAAATATGTGGCTCCCCTTGAAACCCTACTATACCCAAGTTTACCAGGAGATTTGGGTCGGAATGGGGCTGATGGGCTTCATCGTTTATAAACTCCATGCCGCCGGTATGTTTCTTTATGTTTGATTTTTTTTGAGGTCAGGAAGAAAAGTATTTTCAAAAAGAATTACAATTCACATTGCAGAGGAACTATGGGTCTTAACTAGGTATGAACATCAGAACTACCTGCAGTCCTTTGTAAAAACACAGGGAGCACGTTTCAGCTGTAAAAGACTTTTGAGGACAATGGGGATTTTCTTTTTTTTTTTTTGAAACAGTCTCACTCCAGTGCCCAGGCTGGAGTGCAGTGCCACAGTCATGGATCATGTAGCTTCAGCCTCCTGGGCTCAGGTGGTTCTCCTACCTCAGCCTCCCAACTGTTTGGGACCACAGGCACCTGTCACCACCTAACACCACCACACCTGGCAAACTTTCTTTGTACTTTGTGTGTGTGTGTGTGTGGAGATGGGGTTTTGCCATGTTGCCCAGGCTGGTCTGAAACTCCTGGGCTCAAGCAGTCCTCCAGTCCTGGCTTCCCAAAGTGCTGGAATTACAAGCGTGAGTCACATCACCTGGGCCAATTGGGGAAATTTGAACAAGACTTTAATATTAGAGAATTGTGAGTTTTCTTAGGTGTGAAAGTGGTGTTACGTTCGCTTTAAGAGACGAGGGTTAAATATTTAAGGTATGGTTTCATGGTGTGTGGTATTTCACTGCAACCTTTCAACTGTTCTGCATATTTGAAATTTGTTTGTAATAAAATTTAGAAGGGAGGAATAAGCACTTGGTTCCCAGTAGAACAGAGCAGTGCGGCCCAATCACATGTTAACTAAGCCAATAGAACAGAGCAGCGCGGCCCAATCACGTTAAGTAAGCCAGTAGAACAGAGCAGCGCAGCCCAATCACATGTTAACTAAGCCAGTAGAACAGAGCAGCGCGGCCCAATCACATGTTAACTAAGCCAGTAGAACAGAGCAGCGCGGCCCAATCACGTAACTAAGCCAATAGAACAGAGCAGCGCGGCCCAGTCACATGTTAACTAAGCCAGTAGAACAGAGCAGCGCGGCCCAATCACATGTTAACTAAGCCAATAGAACAGAGCAGCGCGGCCCAGTCACATGTTAACTAAGCCAGTAGAACAGAGCAGCGCGGCCCAATCACACGTTAACTAAGCCAATAGAACAGAGCAGCGCGGCCCAGTCACACGTTAACTAAGCCATTAGAACAGAGCAGCGCGGCCCAGTCACATGTTAACTAAGCCATTAGAACAGAGCAGCGCGGCCCAGTCACATGTTAACTAAGCCAGTAGAACAGAGCAGCGCGGCCCAATCACATGTTAACTAAGCCAGTAGAACAGAGCAGCGCGGCCCAATCACGTAACTAAGCCATTGGAACAGAGCAGCGCGGCCCAATCACATGTTAACTAAGCCAATAGAACAGAGCAGCGCGGCCCAGTCACATGTTAACTAAGCCAGTAGAACAGAGCAGCGCGGCCCAATCACATGTTAACTAAGCCAGTAGAACAGAGCAGCGCGGCCCAGTCACATGCTAACTAAGCCAGTAGAACAGAGCTGCGCGGCCCAGTCACATGCTAACTAAGCCATTAGAACAGAGCAGCGCGGCCCAGTCACATGTTAACTAAGCCAGTAGAACAGAGCAGCGCTGCCCAGTCACATGCTAACTAAGCCAGGAGAACAGAGCAGCACGGCCCAGTCACATGCTAACTAAGCCATTAGAACAGAGCAGCGCGGCCCAGTCACATGTTAACTAAGCCAGTAGAACAGAGCAGCGCGGCCCAGTCACATGCTAACTAAGCCAGTAGAACAGAGCAGCGCTGCCCAGTCACATGCTAACTAAGCCAGGAGAACAGAGCAGCACGGCCCAGTCACATGCTAACTAAGCCAGTAGAACAGAGCAGCGCGGCCCAGTCACATGTTAACTAAGCCAGTAGAACAGAGCAGCGCGGCCCAGTCACATGCTAACTAAGCCAGTAGAACAGAGCTGCGCGGCCCAGTCACATGCTAACTAAGCCATTAGAACAGAGCTGCGCGGCCCAGTCACATGCTAACTAAGCCAGTAGAACAGAGCAGCGCTGCCCAGTCACATGCTAACTAAGCCAGGAGAACAGAGCAGCACGGCCCAGTCACATGCTAACTAAGCCATTGGTTACAAAGACGAAAGAAAGGAAACTTGATGCCGCGAGACTGGAGGTTAGGGCATTGCAGAGGGTAAGGAGCCCTGCAACTTTGAAAGGGCTCTTAGCTGTTCGTGGAACACCTTCGGTGGGAATTTCCCATTGCTTGGCTATGAGACATACTTTCAAGCTTCCTGTAATTGCTTTACCTAAGCTATGATGCCTTGAGCTAAATGTTGATTTTGACAAAGGTATTTTTGTGAAGCATTGATATGACTGATTTTTTTCCTTCCTTTTATTTCAGATAAAAGAAATAAGGCTGCGAAAGGTAAGTTTTTGCTTCTTAAAATGGTTGGGAATGGAAAAGCCCGTGTCTGTTCAGGACAGGGTGTATCATTGTTCTGAATTGAAATGGATACATAGTTCAGCAGACATGTAGGATGCAGTGGAAATGCTTCACGACTTGCAGTTTGCTGTGCCTGCTGGAAGAGAATTCTGAATTTCTGCTTTTTTTAATGCCTGAAGGATAAGAATTTCTGGTTTTTATAGTCAGGTGGGTCAAGTAAAACTTTCAGGAGTAATAGAGGAATGGATTGTTAACTAGAGGTAGTCAGCGTCACCAGCAGGGGGCACAAGGGAGCCGTGCAATCGTGCCGTCCTAGAAGTTTCCTCCTTCACTGCAACCTTCGCCCTCGGGTTCAACCGATTCTCCTGCCTCAGCCTCCCAAGTAGCTGGGCTTACAGGCATCCACCACCACACCCGGCTAATTTTTGTTTTTTTAATAGAGATGGGGTTTCACCATGTTGGCCAGGCTGATCTCGAGCTCCTGACCTCAGGTGATCGCCTTGGCCTCCCATAGTACTGGGATTACAGGCATGAGCCACCGCACCTGGCCTTTGATATATTTTGAAAGAAAGCATCTTAGAAATTTATTCCCTAGTGCCAGTGAAACTGTAGCCATCTGAGTGTTGCACAAACCCAGGACTGGCTGTGTGAGTTGGAGGAAGAGGGGTTTCCCTGCCCTGCCCTGTCTTAGTGCTGTGGGTGGCTGCCGGTCTGCTGTCATTACGTGAGTCCTTAAGCACATTGGGTGTTCCGTATAGGAATAACCCTACTTTTTTTTAATACTGTTGAAAGGTGTCATCTGTACTTTTGGACTGTTGATGAACTGTTTTTGATACTTGTATAATAAATTACATCCTACTTGTTCCTTCCTTCTTAAATTGTATTTATGTATGCATCTCTTGCAAAAGCTGCAGCGCCTGCTCGTGAGCATCATTAACCAGCTTACTTGGAGTACCTGTGAAGGAAAACGTCAGTCTGCCTGTAAATTTGAGCAAGCCGTGTTAGATGGGGCGCGAGGAACATCACTGTACACTTGTATGAGTACCGTTTACTTCCTGGCACGAATAAATGGACCTGTGAGATGCTCTGCTACCTGGTACTGCTTTCACTGTCTTCCCCGCTCAGCCCCCTCCGGTGCGTCAGGCCTACTCTTTGCAGATCATCTGTCATGCAGCAGATGCAGTGAGAGTCTCGCTGAGCCACCCATCATTATAAACAATTATCTCAGTTGTCACGGGGGCTAGTGATCAGGATCCAGGCACTCACTGCCCAATAAATGTGTATGAAACTCAATCCTGCTACTTGTGACCACTCTGAGTCTCTGCTTCCTTATTTGGAAAATGGAGATGTTAATTATGTAAGCTCTGAGTTACAGTTAGGAGGATAAATAAGAGAAAGATTTAAACTAGGAAATATTTTAGAAATAAGGTAGCATTTGATGACGTAGTTGAGATTATAAGCTCTAGGAGAAAAATGCCTCAGGAAATAATCACAAGGCAAAGGACATAATAAGGCCAGGTGAAGAAAGAAAGCCAATTGATTCTAGGTAGGCCAAAATCAAATGCATGCCGCGAATATTTATCTCCATCTAAGACAGTTACCAAGATCCCGAAAATTGTGTGCTAAAAAGATTCTAAAGCAGCAAGCATGGGGTAAAGGTGAGTTTGGTTTTAAATCTGGCACTCGCAGGTGGGCAGGGGAGCAGCTGTGGAATGGGCATGATGGCTGCACCCTGGGTGTCCTGTCCTCTTGAGACCATCCTGTTTCTCATCTGTATGGCATTTGGCTTCTTTAGGTCTGGCTCATGGTAGGTGCCCAGCAGATGACTGGGATCTCTCTCAGCCTCAGTTGCTTTTGTAAGACAACCAAAACCTGCCGTGTCTTTCTCCAGCAGCCTCAGCATTGTTGGACTGTGAGAAGTGTGCAGGAAAGCATGACACAGCCTCAGTGGAAGTCAGCATCGGTTCGTGTGACATTCAGAGGGTTTGGATTCACATTCTTCCTGCTAACGCATTTGGTTGTCTTCTGCCTCCAGAAAATGAATCTGCTATGATACAGAAAGGCCCTACCTTTAAAATTATCCGTCTGCCCAGCTGTTCAGGCTGGAGGCTGCATTAGAATCACCTGGAAGGCCATGCCGCAGCTGGCTGGGCCCCGTGCTTCTGATTGCACTGCTCTAGGAAGGAGCCTGAGAACTTGTATGTCTAACAGCCGTCAGGACGTGTGGATGCCAGGAGCCCCGCTGGAAAATTTCTAATGACACAAAGAACCCAGGCCTGCCCTCCCACAGCCCTGGTACCCACTGCAACGGCCCCAGGCTCAGCCCTGTGTCAAGTCTCAGCACGTGTAGTCCACCTTAGTGAGGCATCAGTATCGGCCTTGACTTTCAGAACAGGAAACGGGCTGAGGGGCAGAAACACGCCGAAGATGTTGCAATTAGCAAGCACTGGGGCTGGGGCTGCACCCCAGGAGCCTGCAGTCTCGCCCAGAGGGAGGTGAGGACAGGCAGGAACAGACGTTGATGTGTGACCCGGGAGGGCTGCCCCACAAAGCCTGGGCCGTTCCTCTTCTCCCTTTACCACTTAAGGGTTCCTTCGACAAATTACCAGGGTAGGCTGGGCACAGTGGCTCACGCCTGCACTTTGGGAGGCTGAGGCAGGCAGATCACTTGAACCCAGGAGTTTGAGATCAGCCTGGGCAACATGGTGAAACCCCATCTCTACAAAAAAGCACAAATATTAGCCACACAGGGTGGTATGTGCCTGTAATCCAGCTCCTGGGGAAGCTGGTGCAGGAGGATTGCTTGAGCTCAGGAGGTCAGGACTGCATTCCAGCATGAGCAACAAAGCATGACCCTGTCTCAAAAAGGAAAAAAGCTCTGTTTGCCATCCCAGAACCCGCCTACACTGAATCCCTCGGGCTTTGAAAACAACCAGGTCTTATCCCAAAGGCAGCCTGTAGGTGGAGCCAGACGATGTCACCTGGGCTTCCCTGTGAGCATGGAACTCGGGGCCCCAGGGAGCTGTTTAAAGGAGCATTTGGGGGGCGGTGCCAGTGGGTAAGAGGTATGCGCAGTGAGCCCCGGGAGTGCACAGGGGACAGCCAATCCAGGAAGGAATCCCAGAGGCTTTTTGTCCCAAAGCCTACACATTCTCCTCCTCTGACTTAATGCAGTGCTTTACAAAGTGTGCTACAAAGTAGCCCCAGAGGCTGGGAGGAGAGAGTGGCTCCCGGGCAGCTGAAGGTGTCATTGTGAACCCTGTGCTCTCAAGTGAGCCTCTCGGGGAGGCATGGTGTTTCTTCCTGCTCGTCACCATGTATCCCAGGAGTGCACACACCCCAGCCAGAGCCTTTGGAGGCTGTGCTTCCTGCCATCCTTAAGGGGGTCCTGTATCTGTAGAGGAACCAGATAGAGTTCCGGGGTACCAGGCCATGGTCTGCTTCATATTTATCTACACAATATTCCGTGAGCTCATACTGTCACCCGACTTCGCAGCTGAAGAAATGGAGGCCCAGACAGGGTAAGTAGTTTGTATTAGAGGATAACTACCTGGTTAGCAAACCCACTAGTTAACTGGTAGACCAGGGTTCAAATCTGACCCGTCTCAGAATCGGGACTGGGACTACAGCCCAGCTTCAGACAGCTCCTTCCCTGGGCTGGGCGTGTATCACCGTCGGGATGCAGTGGTGGTTAGCACAGATTCCCTCACTCCCTGAACACAGTCTAGAGAGCGGACCTGCGAACACAGTGCCAGTGCTTGGCAGGCACAGTACTGAACATCTGTGCTGTTAGGAACCGCCTGACGGGCGCCGGCATCTGGCCTCGCTGCTCAACGGCCAGCTCTGAGCATGGCCCCGGCCTCCCTTCAGACAAACCAGCCACCTGGAGTCATTGCTGGTACCTACAGGGAAACTTGACATGGGCTGGGTGTTAAGTCATGTTGGACTGTTGGTTTTATTAGGTGATCATCACCACAATGGTATCCTGGTTGTTAAAGAAAATGTCTTTGGTTTTAGAAATGCAGGTGCAGGCCGAGCGCGGTGGCTCACACCAGTAATCCCAGCACTTTGGGAGGCCGAGGTGGGTGGATCACCTGTCAGGGGTTCAAGACCAGCCTGGCCAACATGGTGAAACCCCGTCTCTACTAAAAATACAAAAGCTAACTGGGCGTGGTGGCACACACCTGTAATCTCAGCTACTCGGGAGGCCGAAGCATGAGGATCGCTTGAACCCAGGAGGCAGAGGGTTGCTGTGAGCTGAGATCGCACTATTGCACTCTAGTCTGGGCAACAGAGAGAGACTCCATCTCAAAGAAAGAAAACACAAGTCGAATAATTAAAAAACCAAATTTGAGCATTTGGTATTTGGGTGTCTTTGAAGCCATCAAAAGAAGAGCCGAAGGTTTAGGCAGCTCAGAGTTCCAGCAGTGAACCTCAGCCTTGGCATTCTTGTCACCAAAGGACCAGCTGAAGCCAGTTAACCAATGCTGAAGTTACCGAGCTGACGCAGAGCCAGAATTGCCCAGGTGTGCGCAATGGGAAACGCTTCCACCTCATCCTTACCAGCTACGCTGGCATCACCTGGGACCTGCTAGGAGTGCCATAAAAGCCAGACCCACCCCCAGCTCAGGGACGCAGAATTAAGCGTTGCCTCCTGTCTCCTTGCAGTCCATTAGAAATAAAGCTTTTTCTTTTGTCAAAAGCCGGTGCCCTAGTGTTGGCTTCTGTGAGTGTCAGACAGCGGGCCCACTGCTGGGTAACACGTCATCTTCCTCGTGTTGGCTTCTATGAGTGTCAGACAGCGGGCCCACTGCTGGGTAACACGTCATCCTCCTGAGCTAGTCACTGCCCTGGTAGCTCCTTGGGATTTCAGAACCAAATTAGAGCAGGCAGCAGGCAGAGGTTGATGTGACACCCTTGCTCCAGCATCCAGAGGAGGGGTGTTTCACAAAGTGGGAAAGAGTCTATTTTTTTTATTTTTTTTTTTTTTTTGAGACCAAGTTTCGCTCTTGTTACCCAGGCTGGAGTGCAATGGCGCGATCTCGGCTCACCGCAACCTCCGCCTCCTGGGTTCAGGCAATTCTCCTGCCTCAGCCTCCTGAGTAGCTGGGACTACAGGCACGCGCCACCGTGCCCAGCTAATTTTTTGTATTTTTAGTAGAGACGGGGTTTCACCATGTTGACCAGGATGGTCTCAATCTCCTGACCTCGTGATCCACCCGCCTTGGCCTCCCAAAGTGCTGGGATTACAGGCGTGAGCCACCACGCCTGGCCAAGAGTCTATTTCAGAGAGGGAGTTATTCACTGCTAGCCATGTCTAACCCTGAGCAGTTCGTGCACCCAAAGCAGTTCACCAAACCCACCAACTCCAGCCTGACAACTGCACTCCAGGGGTGCCTCTGTGAGGAGGCTGCCAACTCCCACAGACTTCACCCTCCCTCCCCCAGAGAAAACAGTGGCCAGCGCTGCCCTCCCTGGCACTGCTTCTACCAGTGCCACTGACAGCAAACGCAAGGCATGGGGAAGAAGGTCGGGGTCTCTGTGGTTGACACGCTTCCTGAGCTTTGTGGAATGCACGCTGTGCCAGGGACAGCGTCCATCGAGAGGAAGTAAACAATGCTGCTCCCACCTCAGTAAAAACTATTAATTAGGTCACGATGTTGGAGCTGGAATATTACAAGTGTTTGCAGAACAAATGAAAACCAGGGGTGGTAAAAGGGGAATACTAACATTTTAGAAACCATAGTACACCTCAAGCAAAAGGCACACAGTATCATTCTGGTTTTATGATGCCAGGTACAAAGTGTTTCCATTAGTTGCAGTCTTTGGGACAGTTTTACTAAGCGTTTGATATTGTGGTGATTTTTTTAACTGTCAAAGTAAGTAACTTTTTTTTTTTTGAGATGGAGTTTTGCTTTCGTTGTCCAGGCTGGACTGCAATGGTGTGATCTCGGCTCACTGCAACCTCCGCCACCCGGTTTCTAGTGATTCTCCTTCCTCAGCCTCCCAAGTAGCTGGGATTACAGGCATGCGCCACTACATGTGGCTGATTTTGTACTTTTAGTAGAGATGAGGTTTCGCCATGTTGGTCGGGCTGGTCTCGAACTCCTGACCTCAAATAATCCACCAGCCTCGGCCTCCCAAAGTCCTGGGATTACAGGCAGGAGCCACTGCACCCGGCAAACCTTTTTTTCTTTTTCTTTTCTTGAGATGGAGTCTCGTTCTGTAGCCCAGGCTGGAGTGCAGTGGAGTTATCTGAGCTCATTGCAGCCTCTGCCTCCCAGGCCCAAGTTCAAGCAATTCTCCTACCCCAGCCTCCCAAGTAGCTGGGATTACAGGCACGAGACACCATGCCCAGCCCCCTTTTTTTCCCTTTAGAGACAGGGTCTTGCTCTGCCGCCCAAGCTGGAGTGCAGTGGCACTATCAGGGCTCACTGCAGCTGCCTCCCTCTCCCAAAGTGCTGAGATTATAGGCATGAGCCAGCGCACCCCGCCTTCCACACGCATTTGAAGTAAAAACCTGCCAGGCTTTACTGCTGGAATTCTGCCACATTAAATAGCATGTATCTCTAGCAGTGTATATTCAAAGGAGATTTAGGCCGGGCATGGTGGCGCACACCTGTAATCTTAGCACTTTGGGAGGCTGAGGCGGGTGGATCACGAGGTCAAGAGATCGAGACCAGTCTGGCCAACATGGTAAAACCCTATCTCTACTAAAAATTCAAAAATTAGCTGGGCATGGTGGCACGTGCCTGCAGTCCCAGCTACTCATGAGGCTGAGGCAGGAGAATTGCTTGAACCCAGGAGGCAGAGGCTGCAGTGAGCCGAGATCGAACCACTGCACTCCAGCCTGGGCGACAGAGTCAGACTCTGTCTCGAAAAATAATAATAATAATTTTTTAAAAACAAATAAATAAAGGGACATTTCTAGGCTGGGTGTGACGGTTCACATCTGTAATCTCAGCACTTTGGGAGGCTGAGGTGGGCGGATCACTTGAGCCCAGGAGTTCACGACCAGTCTGGGCAACATAGTGAAACCCTGTCTCTACAAAAAATACAAAAATCAGCCAGGCGTGGTGGTGCGCCCTGTAGTGCTAGCTATTCAGGAGACTGAGGTGGGAGGATTACCTGATCCCAAGAGGTTGAGGCTGCAGTAAGCCGTGATGATGTCACTGCACTCCAGCCTGGGTGACAGAGAGACTGTCTCGGAAAAAAAAAAAAAATTCTGAAGCAGGCACAGTTGCTCACATTTGTAATCCCAGCACTTTGGGAGGCCGAGGCAGGTGGATCACCTGAGGTCGCGATTTCGAGACCAGCCTGACCAAACAGTTTAGTAGAAATCCTATCACTACTAAAAATACAAAATTAGCCAGGCGTGGTGGTGCATGCCTATGATCCCAGCTACTCGGGAGGCTGAGGCAGGAGAATCGCTTGAACCCAGGAGGTGGAGGTTGCTGTGAGCCGAGATCGTGCCATTGCACTCCAGCCTGGGCAACAGGAGCAAAACTCCGTCTCAAAGAAGAAAAAGCTTCCCGCAAATGCCTTGTTTGTGCACAGCCTGTATACGTCTGTACGTTAGATCATTCACACAGGCTGCATTCAGGCTCCAGCTGGAGCTGCTGCTCACTGCCTGTGTGGCCTCAGGCAGACTGACTTCTCTGGGCCGGCTTTCTCGTCTCTAAATTAAGACCTCCAGAGTCTCTCTCAGCTCTGTAATTCTACAGCTAATGGATTTGTAATGAACCTAAATTGCCTCATCCAAAAATAGTGAACTATGAGGCAATTGTTGGAATGATAGATAATAAATTGCAGATTTATGTAAAGGACATGAATGTATCTCTTGGAAACCTGATATCTAACAAACTTACAGTCAGCATTTATGGTAGGTACTCATATCTTTTAATGAATTTAAATAAAGATGCCAATTAAAAAGTAATTTCCTAGCTCTTGGTAAAATAGAATAAGGGATATCTTTAGTGACTGTTTTACCAATTACTCTATTACTAATGACAAGGAAATGAGAGAATGGTTTCTGACTTCCTGGCCAGGCCAGAGGGAAGCACCACACTCAGTGCAGCTACCATGGTCCAGGAACCAGGCAGCTCTTTCCATCGCCAGGGCAGAAATCTGATTCAGCCTGGAGTCTCCCATAACTGAACTCCAAGCTACTGGTGCTTAACTGACTGCACGGGGTTCACTAACAGAAATAAAACTGTTAGGTGGACCAGAGATGAGACATAAGAAACTACAAAGAAAAGAGCAAATTTTTCCCAAGCCAAAGATGGGAAAGAGAAGAATTAGATGTTTCAGTGGAATAGAAAACAGAGCCAGGCACCCTGGCATGTGCCTAGAATCCCAGACTCAGGAGGCTGAGGTGGAAAGTCCGCTTGAGCTCAGGAATTCAAGACACCTTTGGTAACATAACAGAATGCCATCCTGTTTGTTTGTTTGAGATGGGGTTTTGCTCCTGTCGCCCAGGCTGGAGTGCTCACTGCAACCTCCACCCCCAGGTTCAAGTGATTTTCCTGCCTCAGCCTCCTGAGTAGCTGGGATTACAGGCATGCACCACCACGCCCAGCTAATTTTTTGTATTTTTAGTAGAGATGGGGTTTCACCATGTTGACCAGGATGGTCTCGATCTTTTGACCTCGTGATCCACCCACCTCGGCCTCCCAAAGTGCTGGGATTACAGGCTTGAGCCACCGTGCCCGGCCTAATTTTTTATATTTTTAGTAGAGATGGGGTTTCACTGTGTAGCCAGGATGGTCTCGATCTCCTGACCTTGCAGTCCACCCGCCTCGGCCTCCCAAAGTGCTGGGATTACAGGCTTGAGCCACCGTGCCTGGCTGCAGGACCCCACCTTAAAAAAAAAATGAAATGACAAACAGAAAAACAATGGAGAAAGACCAATGAAACCAAAAGCTGGTTCTCTTCGAACATCAATAAAATGGGTAAACCACTAGCCAGAATGATGGAGAAAAAATAAAGGAAGAACATACAATCAGTGTCAGGAATGAGAGAGACGCCATCTGGTCTTGAACTCCTGGGCTCGTCTAAAGGAAACACAGCAGAGACGGAGGAGGAGAGACTGTTCACAGAAAGGCAGGAGGAAACTTTGGGGACTGATGGATCTCTTCGTTTTATAATTGTGATGGTTTAACTGTGTGTGTGTGTGTGTATATATATATAATTAAATTGTGCAATTAATGCGAAACTTATCAATAACCTCCATATTATGTATACATAATATCATGTGGAGACTTTATACTTCAGTAAAGCTATAAAAAAAGTTTCTAAAAATTCTATGCTGGCCAAGCGTGGTGGCTCATGCCTGTAATCCTGGCACTTTGGGAGGCTGAGGCAGGGAGATGTCTTGGGCCCAGAAGGTCGAGGCTGCAGTGAGCTATGATCACACCACTGCACTCCAGCCTGGGAGACATAGTGAGACCCTGTTTCAAAAAAAAAAAAATCTAGTCTAACCCTCAAAAACACCTAGTTTTTCAATAAATGAAAAATATCCAATGTGATATATTAAATCCTGTCTCAAAACCAGTGATAATTCTCAGGGTGCCTGGGCTAAAATTTACCCCTTTATTTGAGCAAATAGTTTCTTCACAGATGGGAAAATTTAGTGCCATTTATGCAAATATGCAAGAGTAATATTAAAATATTTGAGGAGTCCTGGGCAGGCGTGGTGGCTCA